CCTTTCCTTTCCTTTCCTTTCCTTTCCTTTCCTTTCCTTTCCTTTCCTTTCCTTTCCTTTCCTTTCCTTTCCTTTCCTTTCCTTTCCTTTCCTTTCCTTTCCTTTCCTTTTTTTCCCAGATAGTTTCTATGCAGAATGGGAAACCTAACAACAGAGACTGAGAAGAGTTTTACTGTGGATGTGATTCCTTATAGGGATTATATTTCAGATATTGAGTGATTCCATTTTCATTTTTGAAGCAAATTCCTTCATTGGAAAACATTTTTCATGATGCCTCTGTAATTGTGCAATTCCTATGGTGCATTAAAATGGCACAAGAAAAAAAAAGATCCTCCAGAAATCTTGTTAGGAAATACAGTATGAAGACAAAATGAAGGAGAGAGTGTTACGTGAATTACAGGTCTTGTAAAATGTCATAACAGAATTTATGGTTCAATAATTTTAAATCCTTGAATTTTAAGTAAAAATAATGAGGCTTTGGCATTTTTAAATGTTCTCCTACCTCCCTCCCCCCAAAAAATAAATGCTGTCGTCAAGAACTGATTACACGCAAAACTATGGTCTGCAAAAAAATCTACTAGAATACAACCAGAAACAGGAAAGAGAACTTCTCCCCCACCCATTCCAAGTGGATATTTGTGAAGATTTATTTCCTATGTAGATCCAATGGTAATTTAGGATGATAAATCTTTCAGAGAACTCTCTGCAGACCTAGTGAAAATGTATGCCTGAAGCTAATTTTCTCCAATGGTCTGGCTTTTCCTTTTCCAGTTATATTGGCTTCTGAATTGTCCAGTCCTTTGTTTTCTAGTGAACACAAAAGGGATTTTGCTTTTCAGAAAAGAAACAGGGGTTTATTTGTCACAGTATCCATGAAAATGGTCCTGTCAAGGGGTTCCTGTAAGTATTCATACATATAGAAGAAGACTTCCATAGAATTTCTTCTTTCTGTTAAAACTGAAAAGGAATTTTAACATACAGTTATATGAAAAGAGTTTGGAAGAGAACAACAAAAAATATTGTTTCCCAGGTATAAGCTGTACCTAAACCATTTGTAGCAGAAATACAGAGTAACAGCTTAAACCAGTGATTGAGAATCTGGTAGAAAGACAGGACCAATCCAGAAGAGTTCAGGTGCATGCAATGTACCTGAATGACTGGAAGGGGTGGAGTCAGGATCCACCCCTTCCCAGACCTCATTTAAGGGTTGAAAGGGTGGCAAAGAAGGTAAGGGTATCTTGCTGGAGATGTCTGCCTACCTTAGGTCTCCTGAAGGTGAATAGCTTCTCCCCTTTCCTCCTCCCCCCTTTTGTTTTTGCATCCATAGCTGCTGCACTTGTTTTTTTCCCTTACTTGCTGCGTCTTGGGGCTCTGCTAACATTGCTGAATTTTCCATCACATTATAGCATTGTATCATTCTAATCATGGTTATCTAACCTGCTCATAAGAATCAATCTAGATTCCATCATCTCTTTAATTAGTGCCACAAAGCTTACAGTTCATATGTTCTCTCTGGCTTGTTATTTCTTCTTCATAGCGTGGAGAAGAAATAATTCCATTCCTTTTCTAGACCCCTACTAGTTCTTACTACCTTGTCCAAAAGTCAGGCGAGGAGATTTATCCAGACATGGTATTGTACTTGCAACAATATTCCATTTTAGAATAGACTATCAGCTCAAAGCCTCAATGCATTCTAGGTGGCACTTTTTCAACACATATATTTTTTTTGATCAAACATAACATAACTTGCTCATGGTGAATATTCATGCAAAGTACAGAATTTGTCCTTGCTTCATCATACCTTACTTTTTAAGGCCATTAGTTAGCCCGATTGATTTTTAGAACATTTTATTAGTTTCTGTCTCACACTGTATTTAGTAAGTTACTTACTGTCGTAAGTTATGGAATTAAGAACCCAGGTCCAGAAAAAGAGTTGTGTCAATTGATATAATCAATATCAGTTAGTTGCAAACTTAGTTTTGCTTCAAGCTAAGTCATGAAAAGTCATACCACTTTCCTATAAATGGAGCATGGGTCTTGGTATGATGAGTTGATCTATGTTTTAGTTATGCTGATTATGACTTTGAAAATAGTAAAGAAGATGAATATGTTCTAAATATTCCTTTTCTCCTGTCTCCCCATCCTCCTCTCATCTTTTTCCTTATTATCCTACAGAGAAATAAATGAGCATTGCCAAAACATAAATTAATTGAAAGGTAAGCGGTAGGAAAGAAAAAAGCACATCTTATAGGACTTAGGCTGTGTTTATTTTGGAAGATAAATGAAGTCTGATTTGGGTGTTTGTTTCTGGTCTAGGATAATATAGTCAAAATCTAATCTCTACCTATGAGTATGTTTCCTATTTAATTTCTTTGTTACCTAAAATACCTTATGCAGTATTTTTTACTACATTTCATTTTTACATTCCATTTGGCTCTTTAAACTTTATCTAAATAGGGTAGCACATCAGGCAAGCCAGAAGAGCAACTCAGCATAGCAAGAGAACTCACATCGTTTTCATAGCTTCTCTAACAAGAGTACAGTGAACTCTTAAAAAGAACATTTACCATGGCATTGTGCAAATATCTCATAGTGGAAAATGCTTTAAGCAAGGAAATACTGTGGTAAAATCAATAGCCCGGAACATTATTATGCTTTCTAACAGCACCCGCTGTTCAAGCAGGGGACACATATAGATATTTCCACATTTCTTATGTCCTATTCGTGACTATAGGAATCAAATTACATATAGGCTTGCAACAAAGATTTATTTCTTAGCCTGTAAGCTCTTCTGAATTAAAAATTTGTATTGGTTCTGGTATCTGATCCAAATCCTACTGAAATCAGGCATGGTCTTCCCTCCTCCTCAATCAGCTCCAAGACAGATCTGTAGGGGAAACTGAGCAGTATGATTCATTCACTTCTGGTTTTGGTCGTGTCCTCAAGACATGCAAAAGGAGTAGGACCATACCACTGTGGTCAGACACAGGGTGTGGAGTAGTTTCTGTGAGGTAAGGAGATGCCCTGGGGAACCTCACTCCCCAGCAGATGTTGTCTCACACCTGTTGAGGCTGGGAGTGTTTTAGCTTATGAAAGGGATACATTGAACACTTTGAACATCCTGATGTGTTTTGCCTTTGGTGAATCACGGCAAACTTCTGTATATTCCAGTCATCATATATCAGGAATGTCACTGTTCTGGCATGCTGGGCTGCAGCAACCAGAAATGCAATGCAGTCTCAGTTTTAATGACTCCTCTTAGTCTGTCAGAGCCATTGTGCAAATAACACAGAAGTTAAGCTACAGAGCTGTTAATTTTCTTTTAGATTTTGCAAAAGAAAACCGGTATATGCACAAGTTAGATCATGCAAATTCTTAAAAAAAAAAGTCATCTTTTTGTTTCAGGGTGTCACACTTAAAACTAGTTGTAGCTTCAGAATATTACATTTTGGAAATTTTCTTGCACGTAAAACAATAATTCTGATTTTATCTTTTACTTGAAGAAGTAGAAAACTGCTCTGTATAATTAGTTCAAGCGCTGTTGCATGAGATAAAGTAAACATTTGTCTCCAAAAGGGGGAAATGTTTGAAATGTACCTTTATGGTTTTTACCACTTCTATGGCATTGTGCTCTCTAAGAACTGAGGTCATATATGACACACAAAATACTTTGCCAACATCATGTATATGTTAGGATTACCCTTTCAGATTTATTATTCAAGGATTTTGCTTGTAACATTTTTTAAGTACCATGAAGCCTGTGTATTCGTAAGTATCCTTTTGTTAAATATGTGCATGAGAAACTGAATATATTGTAAGTATATAACAATAACGAACCTTTGCATGGCTCAAATATTTAGCATGTGGCCAAATAATTTAACACATAGGCAGATAATGACCCTAGTTGCAAATAAACTTGCTTTTGACTTCAAGAACATTATAGAATCATTACAGTGAAGAGAATTTGGATATGTTTTTGTTGTATGCCTAAATGCATTTTGGAAGCAGCTTTTTAGACAGCCAGTCAAAGGTGAGGAAAAAGTGGAAACTATTAGTTAAAAAGGATGCCATTGTAATTTTTTTTTCCCACTTGGATTTTTGTCCTTTTCATACTGTATTATTTGTAAGCTTACCTAAAGTACTTTATGCAAGATTCAGAGGGGGGAAAAAAGCCACTCTGTATAGTATTTAAATAATTGAATGCTGTCAGAAAGGTGGGCTTTTGATGAGTCTGCAGTTTTATATTGAAAATCAAATATATTGTAAGCATAGGGAAACACAACTGAGTGCCCTAAGAGGGTTTGGTGTCATGGTCAACATTCAAAATTTGCATGAGAGGTTATTCAAAAGAGAGGTAGCAGACTTCCCTATTGTATTAACATGGTAATGCAATTCTTTGTGTCTATTATCCTGATCCACATCAGCTCTGGTATGCACAGAGTCTGGATTTTTATGAGCTATATGCTTTTTGCAGAGATATTTTATTAACCCAATTAAGAATTTTATAAAAGTAAATTATATTTATGTTTGTGTCTCCTATTTGCATTCATTAGGGAACCTAGACCACCTCCGGTGACTTCACAGAGGGCTGGTCAGGTCCCATCTGTGTAAATCTTGTAAGTTGTCATAGACTCATTGCATTTGATTTACATGTGAAACCTGCGGACTGAGCACAAATGCTAACCAGACAGCTGATAAATAACACAATACCAAAGCAACACTTCTACATTTCTTTAACTCTTTTTTTTTATGTGGATCTCCAAATGTTTTTCAGACCTTAATGAATTAACCTTTGTGGTATTACAGCAATCATAACCAAAATATTATTGCTTATATACCTTATCAGGTTTAATAATTTGCTGCTTTATAATGGGGTAAGACTCATTGTACCAGTTTACTTAAATACAAAACCAGAAGCTGGTCCTGTCCCAGGGATCTCACAGCTTAAAGGCCTGACTGGTAATTTTCACAGCTTGACAGAGGGAGTCTTTTAAACTTACCACCCATCTGCTGAGACATGTCCATGTAGATCTGATGCATGTGAAAAACAAACAAGTTCAAACTACCCAGGAAGTGGCTTAAATCCACTGTGAGCTTGTTTTCGGGCAACTACTTTCGTTTCACATTTGCTTGAAGCACGTATGCAGGCAGTTATCAAGGCTCAGCTGACGGCTGTACCTCAGCTGCTTGTGGCTGGCCTACTCATACAGTCTTATGCAGCTTCTGATGGCAAGACTTAAAAATGAGGCAGCAATTCCAGATTTACAGCCAGAAATAAAATGTATAGAAAGCTGACTGAATCAAGTGTCAAATCCAAGAGGAAAGGTTCATTTTGCAGTGTGCTGCTGTAAGTACTAGGAGACTGGTTGTACAAGTGAAAGTAATTTGATGTTCATATTTGGGAAATAGGTCCTAGGTAATACAGAAATAGGTCAGTGTTTGTGCAGAAAGCTCGCTTAGCTTGGCTGCCTCTCCTCCACATAGAACCTGAAGCACTGCTCAGTAATGCCAATGGTTAGACTAGGAGGAGGTGTCTCCACAAAGCAGTTGGGCTGAATTAAGACTTTTCTCAAAGAGCAAGAAAGGAATAATGTGTGTAATGATAGCATAGAGGAGAGAAACCACAGAGAGAGGCTGTAAAAACCTACTGCTTGCTGTGATGCAAACTAATGACAAATAGGAACACTGAGTTACACGACCGACAGCCATTGTCATTCTATCAGTGTGCCCCTTTGCACACCTATCAGAGTCTCTAGATGAGCCTGCCAGTCTGACCTGTCAATTCTTTTTTTTTTTTTTTTTTTTCTTTTCCTTCTGCCTTGGCTTGTGTAGCCCTACTGAACTGTACAGAAAATGACTTCAGTGTATGCTGGATCAGGCCTCAGATTCTCAATAAACAGTGTTATGCACCTAGGTTAAGCAACTCCTAAGGGGAAAGTAACAGATGCCAGGATTGTAACAGAAAGGAGCTTTTGAAGAAAAAGTTGTGAAACAGACCTATTAGCAACTGGTACTTCCAGGGCTGAAAGCCACCTTGATGGTGGGGGGACAGGAACAGCACATCGGGTGACGTGAACCACGCTCTGCACTGCTTGTTGTTCATGGGTGGGCAGGGAGAACAAGTGCCAAACTCATGTCTGTTTTGTAGCATGCAATGTGGATCTTGATATAGTTGTCTTGATTATTTGGAAATATTTACTTCACAACTAAATGCAAGACCTAGCGGTTACTGCATCTTGTCTGGGAGCAATGTTTTGGTGGTCACTGTTGCACAACAGTAGCCTCTAGATAGAATCATAAAAAGTAAAATTAAACTAACATGCGTTATTGTTCTTATAGCAATGGATAATAACTCCAGAGCAAAGCAATCAGATTTAGGTAACACCAGAATTAAATTTGACTATTCAGCTTTAATTGAGCACACTTATGCATATGCTTCATACTAACATAAATTGTGTGATAGTTTTCCTGTATGATCCAGGAGTTACTCTGAATACAGAATGAATGGTGTTTTTGGGATAAGTTACTATTCAATAGTTTGTTTCATTTCCATTATTTGGTCTGTGAAATTTTAATGTACTTTGATCCATAGTGCAGTATTATAACTGCACTTGCCTTATGAAAACTTGGCAATTTTACCTATATATAGTTTTACATTTTTTTTTATGGTATTTTCAGAATGTTTCTGCAATTAGGATGCATGCAGAATGCATAATGTTGCAAACTCTGTGAAAGTGCACAACCACGACATTAATTGCCCTGCTTCTAATAGGACCCATTAAGGTGCTGTCAACACCACATTAATCAAGAAAGACCCTTTCTCAAGTCACTTGAGTGTTCCTGCAACGGCACTGCCCAGTTTTGTTTTCATCACTGTTGTTTCATTTCATTAAATGCAGTGTGAATCACCTCTAAACAAAACTTTTTTGCAGTCTTCTGGTTTCCCTGGAATCCTAATGTGAAATAATATCAAGTGCCAGGGCATGCAGGTTTACATCTCAGAGCCCTTTTGCTTTGTGGTAGAGGTGCACAGAAAGCACAGCGCGAAGAATGATAGCAAAAGAATAGCCATATTAGTGCAGTCAGCCTTGAGTGTTATCAAGGTAAATTCTGAGGAGTGGGATACATTAGCTTAGCAGAATTGCATGCACTGCCTGTGGTCCTTATGCAGATCACCTGAATCTCCCTCCATGGTTTTGCCCTGGGTTAAATAGCACGTATCCTCTACCAGCGCTACTGACAATCTCAGTAAGGACCATAAGAGCAACAGAGAATTTCAGTTCTCACACAGTGTGACTGAAACATTTGGTACAGTTGTACTCCTGTCTGTACTTTTTCATGATTACAGACCCTGACAGACTATGTAAACTTTCAACAACACCACTTCTTTTATCTTTATTGCTTACTGAGTTGGAGAAGGCATCTGGGATGAAAACAGGCTCATTCTCCCAGGTAGGAGAAAAGGAATAATGATTCCCGAAGAGGAAGATAAAACTTTTAATAATGGTCCATGTCCTAGCGAAAAGTCTTTGATGTAAAAGACTAAGTATTTTGCTGATGCTTCCCTTTTCCTGAAATTATCATAAAAGGTGACATCCCAGGTTGTACTTTCCAGGTTTCAAAATTTTGGGCAGTTCAGGAAGGTTATGTGCTCTTCTTTATGCTCGAATAGAAAAATGGTGAGAAACAGGTTAGAAGAGACCTGTAAGGGCAAAGGAACTTGTGAGTACATGATGAGTCACGAGTGCTGTGTGTTTTGAAGGAAACCAGCAGAGAACTGGGGCAATGCATCTCACAAACTGGCGATTTGGCTGCTGAGTTAAAAATAAAACCAAAACTAAATCAGTCCTCTGGTACATAAAGCAATTGTGGGCCCCATGAAGCACTGGAATCTAGGAGGTTTAAGATTACATAGATTTTTTTACCCTTAAAGAAATTTCATCCCTGTCACCAATAGTAGATAGATCTTATGAAATACAGCTATATTAAATTATAGATATGTATAAAATAATGAGATTAGGAGTGTCAAACTTTTCTTTGCAAATTCCATGCATCTGTACATTTTTTTTTCCTGTAGCAGAAGCAAAAAAATGACAAGGCATAACTGGAATGTGGTCATTAAAAAAATAAAGTGAATCCACTGTACATAACCATTTGCATTTTTTTTAAGAACTAGTGGCAATAGATGCACCAAGAGCCATCAGTGTTTCACACCCAGGTCATTCTGACTCACAGGTGATTTGTATTCCACTCACAGTGTTTTTCAATAAACAGCAACTCTGATCTATAATATAGTCAGTTCTAACAAGATGGATTTCTAAAGGTTTATCCATCTAGCTAAAATGAACCTCAGTCATCTTTGTGCACAAAACACCCACATAGGCTATTTGTCTTGGACCGGCATGTTTGGCAAAAAGCCTGACTTAAGCCCTGAGCATGAAAGCTTAGTGAAGAATGCTGCCATTCACACGGGGGTTTGATGTCCAGGACTGACCCCACCCTCTGTACTTAGCTCTGAGCTGCTTGGCAAAGGCAGAGAAACCACAAGACAAGTCTTATCGTCTGGTAAACCTGTCACTTGAAAATGACTTCACTAGAATAATTCAACAATTACAGTACATTTTAATTAGGTGTATACCACATAATCACAGCTTTTTTTTTTTTTTTTTTTTTTTTTTTTTGTCTGTACATTGAGTTTCAGAGGAGAAAAAGAAACAGAACAGAAAAAAACACAAAATTCTAACCCAGAGCTATTCACTGTAAGAGCGTTAGGACCGACCTTTTGTAACATCGGTCTGGCATTCCACAACTGCTGATTTAGGCTGTTGTGGATTGGACTGTGAGTTAGGTAGGCACTTACAGATGAAGTGATCTGCACACCACTGTGTCCTCTGTTACATCAGAATAAAAACAAACGTTTAGGCCTGACACAACTGAAAGAGAAGCAAGATAGCAAAATGGGCAGCTTGCAATGGCAGAGATTATTCCCAGTTCAGGGATGAGGCAGTACTGACATATGGATGCAGCAGAGGAAACTCATACAACAGAGGGGAATGTCTTGGTGGGTTTACCTGCCTCAGACAACTATCTGATGAGTCTGTCTTTTCCTTATATTTTGGCAAGACTTACTTAGCCTGTCTTGCCAGTAAATTCTCATCTAATTGAATTGACAAGCATGGACACTTTTCAATTAAAACTTCCAATCTGCCCCAAATTCAACTTTTTTTTTTTTTTTTTTTTTTTTTCTGTAGTGTAGAGTCTACCTTATGAGTTAATACACTGAGTCACAGTCACTGAAGAAGAGAACTGACAAAATATCTTCACTCTGCAGTGAGTAAATCTTTGATGTTTTTAGTCATTCTTTCTGGTAATGTGCTGGCTTTAAGCCCTTCATGTTTTGTTTGGCATGAATGGCATCTTTCATTATTATTCTCACCTGTAATTCTCCCCTCAACTTTGGGCAGTGAATTCCTGTCTGTGAGTTTCTCCCATGCATTGTTATCTCATTTGCTATCATGAATCACCAAGATAAAGTACTACAAGGTTTGAGATGTCCTGCTACCTGCTGGTCAGCCTAAAATCTTATTAAATTTGATGGCAGTGAAGGCTTTGACATCCTCCTACAATTGTCAGTATGAAGTTATAAAAAAGTAATTAGATTAGAATTAGATAATTAAGGGTGAGTTATTATAGAGCTTTTTGAAATACCTCTGTCACTTCCTCTCATTTCCTCCTTGTATAGGCATTTGTAAAAAGCCTTACATTCTACAGTTTAATACTACAAGTAAAATGAATTCACATTTTATACTTCTATTTCTGTATTTTAGAAATTTATATTTTCAAAGTGCCTGCCTGCATGCATAGTATTCAAGACATCTTCTGGAGAGATTAGACTCTATTATGTCAGTGTAGAGGAAATCCCAAGTGTTCCTTGTTATGGAATGCACATCCAAACTGATGTTCATGCTCAGATCTCTGAGATACAATCACCAGCAAGAGATTATGAGGAGTACTGATGTGCAAGAAGATTTTATTTGCATATTTTGTGCTTGCACACACATGCGTGAGAGTATGTTTTCCCAGAAAGTATGCGTACCCTGTACGTTAATACTT